TGCAAACAGGAGTTTGCAGCTAAGAAGTAAAGGTTTATTAGTTAAGGAAATGGCACCAAACCCGAATTACAGGTGAGCTATTGCTAAGGCCTAGCTCCCAGTTGGCTTCTAGGGGATGGTTTATATAGAGGGGATATCACTAGTTATGGTGTTTAAGGAAGTTAGGGTCGTGGTCTCTACTGACTGGTCGGCGCTAGGGTAGAGGGTAGTTGATCAGTACATCTGGTCCTGATATCAGCCATGGCATTGCTCCATCTGTTTTGCCACTTTGCAGGGCCTGGAGCTGAAACATAACTGAGGCCTAGATGTTATCTCTAGTTTGACCGAAACTGTCTCTGGGATCAATAGACCCGAGGCTTTGTTTCCTAAAGTTACTTGATGCTGACCAGAGCCTCACTGTTCTTAGGGCTTAATGATTAAGGGAGTGGACATGCAAGGGAGAAGGAAACAAGTGAGTTAGGTGCTGGATGAGGCCAGTTTGAATCAAAAGGAAAGAAAGGAGAAAAGGTCATATTAAAGAAATTAAGTTTCTGAGCAGTTATACAACCTGCTTTCAAATAACTATCTTGCTGTTGTGGAACCTTGAAATAAAAAGTGTTCATGGTTGCTCTAGCTGGTTTGGCTCAGTGGGTAGAGTATAGGACTGAAGGGTCCTGGATTCAATTCTGGTCAAGGGAACATGACTGGGTTTCAGACTCAATCCCCAATAGGGGGTGTGCAGGAGGCAGCTGATTGATTATTCTCATCATTGATGTTTCTAGCTCTCTCTCCCCTCTCCCTTCCTCTCTGAAATCATTAATATATAGCGTTCATGGTAGCGACCAATGACTCTTAGGTCAACAAGACCAATCTTAAGCCATAAACATTCATAGCCTTGGAATATGTCCATGTTTTTATCTAAAAATCACTCGGCCTCTAAATCTGGTTTCCAGGGGATAATCTCTGTGGATTTGGTAAAATTGCCACTATGCTGGCCTCCTCACATAGAGCTCTAGACAGGAAGAAAAGAGGCATGATCATATCTGCTAAACTTCAACCACAGAGTCTCTATGGTCTGTCTCTGCCATAAATTTTTGTGACCCTCAGTAAGGGCCCCATGGATTGCAATTGTAATAGCCTGGGATAGATTTAGGCCAGAAGGGTAAATAGATTCCATCTTATAAATAGACTAGAGGCCCGGTGCATGAATTCGTGCACCAGTGGGGTGGTCCCTCAGCCTGGCCTGCAGGATCGGGCTGAAATCGGCTCTTTGACATCTCCCGAGAGGTCCCGGATTGTGAGAGGGCACAGGCCAGGCCAAGGGACCCCACCAGTGCACGATCGGGGCCAGGGAGGGATGCTGGAGGCTGGCCAGTTGGGGAGGGACTGTGGGAGGGCTCCAGGACATGTCCAGCCCCTCTCGCTCAGTCCCTATCAGCCGGACCCCGGCAGCAAGCTAACCTACCTGTCAGAGCATCTGCCCCCTGGTGGTCAGTGCACGTCATAGCCACTGGTCAACCAGTCGACTATCTGCACCCTGGTGGTTAGTGCACATCATAGCGAGTGGTTGAGCGACCTTAGCATATCATTAGCATATTATGCTTTGATTGGTTGAACAGATGACTGGACACTTAGCATATTAGGCTTTTATTATATAGGATAAAGGCTTGGGATGACTCCTTACAAGAGCAGAATGTCTCTGTTTCAGTCTACTGATACAGCTTTTTATTCTTTGGTTTGCTATAGGCATTCCTTTTGTGAGGGTCAGAAATGAGCAGAGGTGGGCACATCTGTGGGAATTAAAGTGTGATCATCCCTATTTCTGCATATTCCCAAACAGCATTTACCACCTGGCCTCCTTATCTGGCTAAGGAGCTACTTATCCACACTTCTGTGTTAAGTGAAATGGAGACTTTCTGATCATTTGGCTCCATTTTCTTTACAAGTGTGTGCAGTAGTGATGGTGAGTAGGGGTTGGGGGTGAGACAGTCAAAGCAGGCAACAGTGGTGGTTGGGAGGATACAGCCCATAGATGTGGCTATGCAGAGCCGGAAACTCAAATGTGATCAGGCTTCCCTGGCGGGTCAGTCATTGTCCCAGACCTCCACATCTTCCCAGATATGCCGGCAGAAAGGAAAAGACTTTCTTTTCAATTAAATTTATTGGGGTAACATTAGTTAATAACATTACGTAAATTTCAGGTGTGCAACTTTATAATACAACATCTCTCTACTCTATAATGTGCTCACCACCCAAAGCCTAGTCTCCAGAAAGAACCTTCTTGGCACAAATGAAAAAAGACTCCGATTGGTATGGCTTGGGTCATACCAGGGCCAGCATCTATAGGCTGTATGTGTGTATCAAGAGGGGATAATGTTTGTCGTCCATTGCATCTATCTATTTATGACAATGGAAAAGCCTAGTTAATTCACTTCCATGAAGAAAATTCAAATTTCTTAGGGTTCTAAGCTTCTACCAGTACACAAACATAACCACAATGAGCTTTTTAGCCATCTGTTTTCATTATAACAGACTCTTGTCATAAGGACAAAGCAAAGCATAAGAGCATGAAAAACTGGAAAAACAAAATAGAAAAAATATGATAATGCATTTTAATGAAACAATCAATTTCTAAAACACTAAGCAACCCAAATCAAAAATGGCTTGTTTTTGCTTCAACAAGGCAGCTACCATTACAGCCTAGTCATGGAGATCTAATTTACAATTAGCAGTAATGTGTAGCAAGGTCTCCTTAGTCCTCTTGCATGTTTGACCAAAGCAGTGGAGGGAAGAGCCTATGAGTGGCCATCCATGCGTCATGGTGTCAGGGAACACAACACCTACAGTAGCTTAGGCAACTGAGAATTGATGCCATTTTTAAAAATCATTGAGAAAGACATTACGTAAACTCCCACCGTGACTCACTACTGACTACGCATGACATCCCCAGAAGGTTCTCGTAATTGTGAACCTACTTTTGCTTTCTTTTCTACATGTGGGATATTGCTAGCAAAGGCAGAAAATCACTTGTCGAATGTTTGGGGTGGGGATCATTTGGTGATAGTACAGCCTCTCATTTTACAGACTGAACACACTGCAGGCCTTTTTTATGCTTTCTCTTTTTTTAAAAAATATATTTTATTGATTTTTTACAGAGAGGAAGGGAGAGAGATAGAGAGTTAGAAACATTGATGAGAGAGAAACATCGATCAGCTGCCTCCTGCACATCCCCCACTGGGGAAGTGCCCGCAACCCAGGTACATGCCCCTGACCGGAATCGAACCTGGGACCTTTCAGTCTGCAGGCCGACGCTCTATCCACTGAGCCAAACCGGTTTCGGCATATGCTTTTTCTTTGACTCATCAGGAAACCCAGGCAGGGCAGCCCAAGCAAGACCCTCAGGAGGGTCTGTCTGGGAAGGTGGGTTGTAAAAGAAAAACCTATGTGCAAGAGGTTTGAATAATTGTCCCAGTGGGTACAATCCAGGCATAGCTATATTCTAATCCAGCTGTTCTCAAACATTTTCACATTTAAAAATTATCTCGCCCTAACCGGTTTGGCTCAGTGGATAGAGCATCGGCCTGCGGACTGAAAGGTCTCAGGTTTAATTCCGGTCAAGGGCATGTACCTTGATTGCGGGCACATCCCCAGTAGGGGGTGTGCAGGAGGCAGCTGATCATCCATGTTTCTAACTCTCTATCCCTCTCCCTTCCTCTCTGTAAAAAATCAATAAAATACATTTAAAAAAATTATCAAATGCAAAATGCTAATGTTTGAAAATTTTAGAAAACATAAGAATACACAAGCACACATTCCTTTAGTCGCCAGAGCAATATGCCATCGCATCCTGTATATTTATAATTATTTCAAAATAAAAAATAATTTAAAGGGAAAAAAAGAAGCACAGAAGGTGGAACAAGTAGGGATTACAACAACTCTCAACAGCAAGGAATTCAGAAGATGGACGTCATCAATATGCTGAAAGAAGATAACTATCAACCTCAAATTCTATAAGCAGTGAAATAAATCTTTAAGAATTTTAAGAAGAATTAAAGACATTTATACAAGCACAACAGAAAATTTTACAAAAGCAAACCTTCACTAAAGGAAATTATGAAGAGTGTAATTTAGGAGTGTTCCCACAAGGAAGATCAAAGATTTAAAATGGAAAGAAGTATAAAAGAAAACATTCTGTTAACTCTAAAAATTACAAGTACTGTACAGGAGAAAAAAATTACTGAGAAATCCAAATAGCTTACTTTAGGAAATTCTACAAAACACAGAATACTCAAGAACCCATTCCTTTACTCATCTGAGTAATGACTTAATCACACATCAGGTTTCTTCTGGAAAATTCTAGGGAGATTGAAAAAGGCAAATGACGTCTTACTATTGTTATGAAACTAGTTTTGACACAGACTCCCTAAAAGGATCTTGGAGCCCAAACACTCCCCCAGACCACAGTTTCCGAACCACTGCTCGAAACCCCATTGCCCAAGGCCAGGTTTCCTGAGTTCCCTTCCCTCACGGGTCAAGGAGGAAACAGTAAAGTCACCCTCTTCCATTTGCAAAGGTGACTGGGGACGCCTAGGCTCCAAGGTCGGGCTTCCTGAAGATTCTGCAAAACGCCGCTAGAGGGCGCCGCTAGAGAACTAGTCGCGTGCGTCATCGCCCCGCCCGCGCCTGAAGGGTTCACACGGGCGCCGGAAGAGAGGACGACACCAGGAAGAAGGGGGAGGAAGGTCGCAGCCTCATTGGACGAGGAGCCATCGTCTCACGACGGGGGCGGGGCTTCTTCCCGCTAAAAAGGCTGCCAGCTGCGCCACACATTCGCAGTTCCTAGCGGCTCTGGTCCCGTCTTTCAGTTGCTCACCGAGGCTTCCCGGGTCATGGTGCCAGCCTGACTGAGAAGAGGCCGCTCTCAGGAAACGAATGAAGAACCACTTTCTCCTGTTGTTCAAGTACAGAGGCTTAGTCCGCAAGGGGAAGAAAAGCAAAAGACGAAAATGGCCAACTTCGTGATCCGCCCTGCCACCGCCGCCGACTGCAGTGACATCCTGCGCCTGATCAAGGTTAGCCCGAGGAGCCGGCTTCTCCCAGGGCGGGGGCGAGGCGGGAGGTTGGAGGCCGCGTTCCCCGCTGAGTCTGTGTCTCTGGCCGGTTCCCCTTCCACCCACCTCCCCCAACCCCTGCCGGGCAGCGGCTCCGG